AACCTGGTCATAAAAAGAGACTAGATTGGTCAGGCACGATCTGCCTGCCACGAACCCGTGCTGGTTTCCCCTCCGCATAATTTGTCCTGCTGGGCTCTCGCATATGTGAGCCTTGATAATTTTTTCAAAGACTTTGCCAAGGATGGAGAGGCGGGGGGTGGTGACACTTGCCCAGGTGTGGCCCTGCCCCCAAATGTTGATATCCTGCCTGACTGCTGTGGGGGCAGCATGGCTGGCTGGAGGGGTGCAGCATTCATGGGAGTGGGGGTGCTTGTGTGGGAACCGCCAGTCCCAAAGGCAAGTAAAAACACAGAGCTTAGTGCACTCAGCATGGGGGTCACATCTCCTGCCTTTTCATAGTTTCATAGTTTTAGGGTCGGAAGGGACCTAATAGATCTTCTAGCCCGACCCCCCGCCAGGGCGGGAGAACAACAAAAGAACCCTAAACAAAAAACGGGACTCAAATGAGTCCAGCCAGGTAGGTATCCAGCCTCTTCTTAAAGATCCCCAGGGTAGGGGCCAGCACCACCTCCCTTGGAAGTTGGTTCCAGCTCCTAGCCGCCCTAACTGTGAAGTAGTTTTTGCGGATGTCCAATCTGTACCTCCTCTCCATCAACTTGTGCCCATTTCTCCTTGTTATGCCAGCGGGGGCTAGGGGAAACAGCGTCTCCCCCAAACCCTTCTGGTTCCCCCTAGTGAGTTTATAGACGGTCACCAGGTCCCCCCTCAGCCTTCTCTTGTGGAGGCTGAATAGGTTCAGGTCCCGCAGTCTCTCACTGTAGGGTCTGCCCTGTTGTCCCCGGATCATGCGGGTGGCCCTCCTCTGGACCCTCTCCATGTTGTCCACATCCCTCCTGAAATGGGGCGCACAGAACTGGACACAATACTCCAGCTGCGGCCTGACCAGCGTTGCATAGAGGGGGAGGATCACCTCCCTGGCTCTACTCGAGATGCACCTGTGGATGCACGACAAGGTCCGGTTAGCCCTGCCAACCATGACCTCGCATTGTCGGCCCATGTTCATCTTGGAGTCAATAATGACACCAAGATCCCTTTCCGCCTCCATGCTCTCAAGTAGGGAGTTCCCCATCGTATAAGTGTGCTGCTGGTTCCTACTACCCAAGTGCAGCACCCTGCACTTGTCCGTATTGAAACACATCCTGTTCCTGTTTGCCCACCCCTGTAACCTATCCAGATCCTTCTGCAATCTCTCTCTCCCTGCTAGCGTGCTCACCTCCCCCCAAATTTTGGTGTCATCAGCGAATTTAAACAGGTTGCTTTCCACCCCAACATCAAGATCGCTGATGAAGAAATTGAACAGCGCAGGCCCCAGGACCGAGCCCTGGGGGACTCCACTACCCACCTCCCCCCAAGTCGAGTATGATCCATCCACCACCACCCTCTGAGTGCGACCCTTCAGCCAATCTGCAATCCATCTGACCGTGTAGGCATCTATGCCACAGTCGCCTAGTTTATTAATTAGGATGGGGTGAGAGACGGTGTCAAAGGCCTTGCTGAAGTCCAGAAAGACTACATCCACCGCGACACCTGCGTCCATGGCCTTTGTGACCTGATCATAAAAGGCAATCAGGTTGGTCTGACATGATCTCCCCCTAATAAATCCATGCTGATTGCCCCTGAGCATCATTTCTGATGCCGGCCCATCACAAATGTGCTCCTTGATGATCTTCTCAAAGAGTTTCCCCAGGATTGAGGTAAGACTGACGGGCCTATAATTGCCCGGGTCCTCCCTTTTCCCTTTTTTGAAGATGGGGACCACATTAGCTACCTTCCAATCATCTGGCACCTGGCCCAAGCACCACGATCGCTCGTAGAGCCGTGCCAGGGGCCCTGCAATAACCCCAGCCAGCTCCCTCAGCACCCTGGGGTGGAGAGCATCCGGACCCGCTGACTTGAACGCGTCCAGCCCCTCCAGAAGCTCTCTAACCCGGTCCTCCCCAACCTGAGGTCTGAAGGCGATCCCCTCGCGTCCGGCTTCTATCACAGCAGGGAAGTCCCGGTCCCTGCACAAGAAAACGGAGGTGAAGAATTGGTTAAAGAGGTCCGCTTTATCCTCTGACGCAACCACCAGATTGCCCCGCATATCCTGCAGGGGCCCCACATTACCCGGCGCCTTCTTCATCCTCCCAATATATTTGAAAAAGGACTTTTTGTTATCCTTAATCCTGGACGCTAATCCGAGCTCTATCTCCGCCTTGGCCTTCCTAACAGCCCGCCTGCAGGCCCGAGCAGAGGAGGTATACTCCTCTTTGGAGATTACACCCCCCTTCCACCGGGCGTACGCCACCCTTTTGGCAAGCAGGCATTCCCGGACACCCTTGGTGAGCCAGGGGGGCTTTTGGACACTCCTGCCCGCCTTGCTTCTTGTCGGGATGGACACCCCTTGGGCCCCGAGTATCGTTTCCTTAAGGAACGACCACTCCTCTTGGACGCTGAGTTCCTCTGCCCTCAAGGACCCCAGTTCCTCTCCCACTAATCTCCTCATCTCACTGAAGTTGGCCCTCCTGAAGTCTAGGGCCACCACCTTGCTGCGGGCCCTTGACACTCTACGCTGGATGGTGAATTCCAGCACGCGATGATCACTATTGCCCAGGTGGTCAAGAACCTGGAGGCCTCTTACCAGGTCGTCGCCTGCGGCCAGGACCAGGTCCAGCAGAGCATCTCCTCTGGTGGGACTGTGCACCTCCTGAATCAAGTGGAGGTCCTGCAACTCGGCCAAGAACCTCCTGGAGCGGTCCGTCCCGGCTGACTGCTCCTCCCAGCAGATGTCCGGGTAATTAAAATCGCCCATGACAACTACATCCCTTGCTTTTAGTGTCTCCGCAAGCTGGCCTGAAAATTCCCTGTCCAGCTCCTCCTCCTGATTGGGGGGTCTGTAATAGACCCCCACCGTCAAATCCCTCTCGCCTTGCCCCCCCCCCCGCCTTTTCTGCCTTCTCTATCCCGCCTGTACAGCCTATAGCCCCTCATGTTAACTGCCCAGTCATGGGATGAGTCCCACCATGTCTCTGTTAACCCTACGACATCTGGATTTGAACTAGCTATTCTGAGGGCGAGTTCCTCCTGTTTGTTCCCCATGCTACGAGCATTGGTGTACAGGCATTTAAGGCCTTGTAAGACTGTGTGCCCCCCCCACCCCCTGATTAGCCAGACCATCAGGACCCCTGTTACTTACCTTTGCACCCCTTGCCCTGATGGCAAGACCCCCATTACTTACCTTTGCACCCCTTGCCCTGATGGCGTCTCCTCGTCTTCCTGCAGCCCCCTCCCCCGGCGAGTCTAGTTTAAAGCTCGCCGTACGAGATCAGCCAACCTGGAAGAGAAGATACGCTTGCCATTAGGGGAGAGATGAAGCCCATCCCGCCCCAGCAATCCCCCCTCCCGAAAGCATGGGTCGTTGTCAAGGAACCCAAGGCCTGCCCGGCGGCACCAGCTGCGTAAGCGCTGGTTGACCTCACCAATGCAGGTCCCATGCCTCTGTCCCCGCCCCCTCACCGGAAGGAGAGAGGAAAAAACCACCTGCGCCCCCGTCTCCTTCAGCCTGGTCCCCAGAGCCTCGAAGTCCCTCATAATACGGTCAGGGTTGCCTCTTGCCGCGTCGTTTGTACCCACATGGACGACAACCATGGGGTACCGGTCTGCAGGCCGGATGCAGGCCGGGATCCTCTCCGTGATGTCCCTGACCCGAGCCCCAGGCATGACGCAGACCTGCCGTGACATGGGGTCGGGCCTGCAGATCGGACCTTCCAGCCCTCGCAGGAGGGAGTCCCCGATGACTAGGACCCGGTGTTTCTTCCTCCTGGTGTTCTCTCTCCTCCCTTTTGAAAGAGCCCAGAGCAGGTACTCCCGATAGGCTGGTGAACAGCCTGGCTTGGAGGGAAAAGCAACCTGGTAACTACAGGGCTACTCATTGAGCCTCAGTATTGTGAGGTCTAGAGCAGACCCTGTGTAGAAAGCTATTGCAAGGAAGGGGTGGAAGGCAGCAGGTT